CAACTATAATACGATATAGCTTTGGTTTACTATAAAACACGTATATAACTCATGAAAAAAATAGATACGAAAAATATCTCTTTTTGCAGCTTATGAAATGATATTGCACAAAAGCTCCAACTTCCAACACAAGCATATTGTACTAATAAAATCCGTCAATGAACGTTAACGTATCAGTACAATTTGTTGTATTAGTATGGAATACAGACAAACAATATCACTTTATAACAAAAATAATAAACCTTACGTATAACAAATTTCCTATAGAATACTGTTGGACTTAAAATCTTTTTGGTCAGAACTCTTAAATATCACAAGATTTTCTAACATGAAACGTTTGGTTTCGACCTTACGTATAGACTTAGCCCATAATTTATAGGCATATTTTTAATATCGACTTTAAGATTTCATAATTGTAAAAAAATGGAACATAAAACCAACGTAAACTTCAATTTTCTCGACTGAAGTGATTATACTGTCAAGAAAATTATCGTTAATTAAAAAAAAAAAATGATATTTGTCCTCTTAATACTACTGTTACTATTGCTAGTGTTCAACACTCTAAGTCATTTAGAAATGAATAAAGAAACATGTAACAGTTCATTTTGACGTCAGCACATTCCGGTATATGGGGGTAAATGTAACTGGAGAGACAGTGAAATTAATTTGAAGGCGTTAATCTTGTGTCAATCTTGCAATGATTAGTAACACTGTTGTACATCAGGTGATTAGCATTCGTATCACATTGATGTACCTTGCGAACGATGTTGGGGCACTCCTTTTGGATGCGAGCCCAATCGGGCGGTGGCCGTTTAGCGTAGGGGCCTGTAGAACACAGCAACAAAAACTCATACGTGAGTTCTCTGATTTCTGGAACTGAACGCAGTTTCGAGATATTATCATGCGGATTAAAGACTTAAGATCATCCAGAGATAATTACCTTCCTGAGTCGATGCGTTCATTTCAGAGATCGCGCGAAGTTTACAAGTATCTTCGCTTTCCGAAATCGCGCCGCTGTTCACGTTTAACTCTTGCACTGCTTCATTCGTATTACTTGGAGTTGACGGTGTTTTCTGCGCGTTGGAAGACGAGATCGAATAAGGAGATTCTTCTTCGAAATTGAAGTACTCTATACCACTCGTAAAGTTTTCTTCTCCCAAGAAATACTCGTCTAGAACCAGCTTAGCAGTCTAGCGCGTACAACGATTATGTTGAATAACGTGTTAAACAGAGACAAGTAGTTAAGAGAGAAAAGAAATTACCCTAACAAGATCAAGATTGCATCCTGTGATCTTTAATGATTGGTTACCAACGGTAACCGTGTATTTATATTCGCCTATACTGGCGTCGTTGGTGGATAAGCTGTGGAGGAGCGAAGTTCGTAAGCGAGAGTTTTGTTGCTCGTGTTGTAATCGATTACTTTCATCCGATGCACTGCTGTTTAGCGAGGAACTAGAACCACCCATAGCTCCCTTCTCTCCTCCGCCTTGCTCTAATCTCACCGGCGATGCATTTCGTTGAATCGTATCTTTTATCAAGTCCTTCGCATAACTGATTAACCGAGTAACAACGATTAAAATAGTGAATTGGACAACATCGGAACTGCTTAGTAGGCGATCGAACTTACTGTATCTTGTCCTCGGAGGTACCCGTGATTTGGACAAGTCGTTCTTTGGCTCCAGGGTTTACTGCGAAAGAAACGTTATATTAACTGCTACGACTCTTACATGATTAAAACATGGTAATCACCAACTGGAATTTTATTTCATATTCATTTGCATCGTGGTTAATGTGCAATGTATCAATGCAATATGATGTACTGATAAATAAATATTAAATACAGGCATTATTTAAACACTCCAAGACCGATTATTTATGGATCACAACATTAGAAAGAGTAATATTAATTCCCTGTAAAAAAATGTAATATAATTTTAGAACTGTAAGCAATTTAAGCAATAAATTAAAGTGTATCGGATGTGTAAAATGTTCGATGAACATGCGGTATCAAATTTCATTTAACATTCTACACATCGTCGAGTGTGATTTAATAAGCTGTAAACAAAATGCATACTAATGATAAAATGTGATAACGTTCGAGTCGTCCAATACGATAAAAAGAATATAGGAACGTAATAACACGTAGAAAAAATAAATATTCCATGCAAATAAAACGGTACATGTAAATTACAACATAAATAACACTCATGTCGTTTATCACATAAATTTTTAACACTAATCATCAATCGTTTCTCTGGCATTCTATAAATACAGTAGTAGTTATAAGAGCACACAATTACACTTTCTATCAATTTATAAGATAAGAGGTCGATGTAGTGACAAGGGTGTGTGAAGATAATAAAAAATATATATATAATTAGTCGTTCTTTTTTCTGGCAATGCGTGAACATGATGCTATTAAGCCGGCTGCAAATTGTTTGTTTACCTCGCTGGAAGGAGATGATTGTCTGGCTGAGCTCTTCGATCATGTGAACCCGCCGCCCTTTTATTCCCATCACTGTATTTTTGTGCAAATAATTTAGAAGTAAAAAACACACTACTTGCTACTTAGAATAGACGTGGAAAAACGCTAAATACAAAATTGACAAGATACGTATCGAAAAATAAACTCAAGAACACGGTGCCGTGACAATGTAATATATATAGAAAATAAACCATCCAGAAAATGAAAACAATTAAGCCATATATTCTACAGTACGTGATCTATTTTAACATTTATACTTCCATGTACGTTTTGCTAAACTATAACTTAAGACACTTAAGTTCCTCTTACCTTTACCAGAATCACTGTTACGTATAACAACTTCGTCTTTGCAATAGTTCTTTCCAGGTATACGCGTTGGTTTGACGAATTTCCCGCTGTTCTTTATAACTTCTCCAGGTCCCAAGATAGGTGCAGCAGTAGGTGAAGTCATCGCTACCAAGGGTGACGATAACGCGTTCGTAGGCGTGTCAGGAATTGCTTCTGTCTGCTGGGATCAATTGAATTTTTAACAACAGTTTCATGTATCCGGTGGGAAGACGTCCTTTCACATACATTATCCAGATGGGACAGTTTCTGTGTATAATACACGTCCATAGAATCGGTGTGACGCCATTGTTTAGCTCTTAACTCAATCAGCTCCAGCAGGTGAACCCTAGTCGTCAGATCTAATTTTTCGTCTTGACTTCCATTTCTGATCGCCACAAAAGCTCTGTCCAGCTGGTCTGCAGATTGAAATAAGAAGCAATGCTTTTCTCAACATTTTCTTCTGATGATATCATTTCTTATCTGGATAATACCTTTATAAATAGCTTCTAGCTGATGGGCATAAAGTTTCAAGTGATTACACATCGTAATCACGTTCATTTGCAGCGTTCGGTCATGGAAGCCATTGGTCAGTTGCATAGCAACATTGTCGATTAAGGACACTATGTCCTCCACTGCGGTATTCAATTTTTAATTAAAGAATAGGGTACGTCCAAGCATAAAATGTTAATTGATAATTACCAGTCGTAATCCGCCCATCGACGGTCGAGTGGCGTTGATTAAGTTTAAGTGGCCGAGGTTTTTCGACTTTCTTGATGGTGCGAGCTCGGTTCAGTTGCGTTGCGGCCATTCTTTACAATCTAAAATATTCGAAGATTCCATGATACGAGTTTTTGAATAAATGAACCGAAACAATTCAAAATTATTCTAGTTAATGCGAGTCTACTTTCACGCAATTAGTAAGCAGGTGTCTTAAGACAGACAGGATGTGAAACGATGTCGAAATTCATATTTTTCTTATGCTTTAAACAACAAATATAGAAAATAGCGAGCGAAAGGTTATTTAACTTTAAAGAAAACATTGTCTTAAGCTCTCGATACGTATGCAATTCTGCGCCGCGGGTGATTTAAAAATAAACTGCGGAAAAGAGAGTGATCGACGAAGGAAACTCAGTCTTAAACAGTTAAAGAAAAAGGAGCAACATTTAATCCGTATACTAACGTCAGTTTTAAGGATAATTCGTTACTGTTGTCACAGTCCGCGTGAATAGTTCTTACAATATAGCAGGTCCTTTCGTTGTTCTATGTAGCGATAAAAATAATTTATACGGTACCCATGTGAGCGCCTCTGGCACTTTCGACATCTTGTGAGGAACGTTAGAGAAGGAAGGAGTACATCTGAGGAAAAGAGAGGGACAGTAAGCAAAAGAAAGGAGAAAACAGGAGTGGGAGGCGGAAGGGTGGCAGGGAAGGCGAGAGATGCAAGGAAAAATGGGAGAAAATATGACGAATTATTCAAATTTCCTGAAACACCAGATAAACGGCAGATATACAATGCACGTTCGAATCACGAGACACTGAACTCTTATCGAAGGGTAGTATTAGTTAACACGGTCAACACGGTGTGAACTCGAAAATTGTGACATTCATGAGACACGTCGTATCGAGAGAACGTTTGACATTTAGCATTGTAAAAATTGCCCCGCTTGGATATGAACGTTTAGTCCTCCGATTTTTATCACTGAAATGAGACTTACCACCACGTCGGCCGTGCCACAGATCAACGACAGGCAGACCGTCTGAAAGAAATCGGTGAGATATGTCGTTGACATACGTTACGAAGGTGTATCCAAGTGTCTAAATGTCAAACGATTTTGCCAACGCGATGCTAGAAACTCACTAGTGAAGAGAATTTTCATACCGTTCGTGGATGGTCTGTGGTTCTAAAATACGATTGTAAAACATTAAGAAATGAAGCGAGGATCAATTCTGTATAATTTGCATAAAAAGTATCGACATTGAAAACATTTTATTCAGTCAGTAAGAAGCATTCTACATGATGATGATGATGATGATGATGATGAATGATGATGAATGATGATGAATGATGATCATGATAATAATAATCGGAATAATAATCATAATTATACAATAATAATAATAATAATAATTCATAATAATCATTCGTAATAACCATTTGTAATATACAGGTAATTCTCTCTCTTGCGCACGCTCTTGCTCTCTTTTATCTCTCACACACATTGAATTGTCTTAATAGAATTAATAAATCATAGGAAATTTATCAAATAAAATTTTACATTCTTCAGACTATGAATGTAGTCAATAAACCATCCTTATCTCGTTTCCCTTGCTACAAAGATATTTCGTTTTCCCATTCATTTTTTTTAGTTTAGTATTCGGCAGCGTTGTTGAATTTGAAGAACTACTTTTAAACCCCCTGCCCGCAGTAACGTTTACATATTTTGCGTCTCATTTGTACATTAGCTAAAAAATTCGCGACCCGCCACGCGGGCCGAAGATAACAAATCCCTTAAATACTTCTCTTCGTAAGGCATAATGTGTTTCCCATTATAACGAAATTACGGTATATAAAACGTTATTAAATGAACAATATAACACAACGATGTAAACGTAACTGACGCAGTTTCCATTATTGTAAATCCATATTTCTATTGATTTGAGGTAGTGTTATTCAATGTAATCCTATTACTTTGCTGCTATAAGTTGTGTGCGGATATGTGTCTCACATGAATATTTCTCGCACCCATACACCTTTACTATAAGTCCAAAATATGTGAAAACATGTAGGAAACAGTTTTGCAGCACTCTTTGCAGTAAACAGATGCAATTCGTAGGTGTTTCTGAAAACATTTCTGTTCAGATCTATTTGTTGCGTCTTTTCCAACGAGCATATATAAACAGTTTCGAGAATATAGAAATGAGAAATATATGTACATATAATATCGTGCTCTCGCGTACGTCGATATTTTGGACTTACAGTTATTTCAGTTGTGTAAGTGTGCTTAAAAAATTATCATCTATGTTTTAAGTATGAGAAAACTAAATGTCGGGCAAATTTTGAGAACCTATTGTAAATTTCGTCTTAATTATTTCTGTACATGCCGTACGTGAAACGAGCATGAGACCATTTGTAAATACGTCTTGACAATTATTAATCAAAATCTTCCCGCTATTCAGTATCCCAACTTCATTACCAAATACGACAAGGCTGCTGACATTAGGCTTGCTAGCACTTGTAAATAATGCCCAGCAATTGTGCTATTCCGTTAGTTTCTTTAACTATTATTTCATGAATAATTTATCACATTTTAATCGTCTTCACAGATTGAAAAAGAGAGGGCACATGTAACATTATGCGTCACCAAGTTAGCTCAATCTATGAACACTTTTGTAAAAAATATAACATCTATGGATGGTTGAGCCCTTGGTTAGCATACAGCGAATTAGTACTTTTGAAGGTAACGCGGATCACTTCTGCAGGAACGCGTGCTGGACAAAAGTGTCCAGATCTGATATCTGTGTTAAATGCATTTCTCTTTCGCGTCGAAAAGGAAACATTGTTCTTGGGCCTCAAAACACACCCAAAGTATATTATCATCTCTGACACATAAAAAATGGAACCTATTTAACCACAAGAGACGGATATTCATTACAATTTGATTGTACAAACTCCTTTAGTCTATTGCAGAAGTGACTTTCGCTCTAGTCTTCGTATATTTGTTTTTCTTTCAATATCACATATACCCCCTCCCGACAAAAACTAAATACAGTAAACTTAAAATAGACATCGAGAAATTGACAATATCAATTTTGAATTTTGACACATTCGTGTTATCCTTATATTACTTTTAATATAAGTTTAACAACTTAATCAAATCAACCTCGAAGTTAAAACAACAATTACAATGCATGGACACATTGTAAAAAGAAATTAAATTTAACGTAAAATATGACTCACATCGAGATATAATAGCCTCAACAGTTTTACCAGGGGAAAAACACAAACGAAACGTACATATAATAGTAAAACTATTAACTACTACACTACTCTAAAATAGCGAGAAAATCCTAAGACTCGGGACATCCCACGATGAGCGTTAGTTTAGAATTTGCTGAATGTTTGCAAGTTCTAAAGTTAATTTTTTTCTCCTCTTCCTCTTATTAAATTTGAATTCTCTAATTCTCGTATTGAATGTCTTGTGATTTTTTACGCTTCTGTAACAGTTAATCCCCTTCTGCTATGTTACTGGTTTTCTCATCTATAGCTGGAGAATATCTCAAAATAAAGCAGAAAGTTCTTCTGCTTTCAACTTGTACGTTTAACTTACAATTTTCGATCTTGGAGCCGAAATCCATTATTTGATTAACTGTGTCACGATTATACGTAAAATTTTCTCTTTTTTTATTAGTTAAGCTCGTATGTACCTCGACATTATTCTTCGCGTTACTTCATATCGTCGGAATATCATTTCTTATGATTCATGGAACATTTCAACTCCACAGATAAAAATTGATTTTAGACAACAATTAAAGATTAAAATCATTATTAACTATAATTATCAATTACACGACCATTAGTATGTCTTATGTAGTAATAAATTACCATCGTGCTATTTTATTTCACCGTCGACGGTTGTTTTTTTATTACTAGTTATTTATGAGTTATTTAGCTTAACTTATTAACGAGTATTAATGGCATCTGCGTTTGTCGAAGAAGAATTGAAGTAAATTTGCGCTTTACCTTAATTATTAATGCTGTACGAAATCCAGCTTCTCAAATTTTTATGAACTCGATTTAATGATGCCGTTTTTTCTTGAAACCTATAAAAGATGTACAATTGTAATAGAAACGTTCGACAAATAAGTCAGTCCCTACACATATTGCACGTTCGTACGTACTTTTTTTAGCTTTGCCCTTTTTTTGAGCTTTCCTCTTTTTAGCGGACACAGAAGACGATTCCCCGAATGTTGTAATCTCTTCTCCGAGTGTACCGATAGTCGTCATTTGGCGATGTCTGTGTTTTTCTTGTTTGGTAACAGGCAAACGCGTCATGTAATTCTCCTCGTATTCTACCTTTCGCTTATTCTCGCGACCTAGGCTGGCCTGTTTCTCGCCTAGACCGTGTGTATCCTCGATAGGCGCGTCTAAATATTCTTCCTTTAACTCTCTCAAAACAGCACCTGACACTGCACGTCTGCGGGCTCTCTCACCCGCTTTACGCATTTTCTCAGCAAGTGTCTCATCTCCGTCTGGAGAGAATAAATTCAGTATTAAAAGAAAGAACAACAATATGTATAATTATTGTAAAAGAAAATACTGACCATAATGTACAGCAGCAAGCTTTGGTGGTACATAGATGTTAGACTTCCTTGCCTGCGATGCTTTAAAACCATCTATACCATCTTGATCGCTATCAGATTCTTCGTCGTTACTATCAAATGCGTCTGGGTTTGCTTTAAAATTAGTTGGATCGTCACTGTTAATAGTACCAGTTACAGCAGTCTTAACAAGTTTATCTATTTGATATTTTAATTTGTGATCTATTGGTCGGATTTTCTCTAGGACAGTTCTTATTTCGATTAAGCGATCGATCGACGGGTCTCCTTCTATACGTTCACCAGAACATTTTCTCAGAACTACATACGTCAAATTAATCAAATAAGATAGTAACATATGATATTTCATTTCTAGAAAACTAAGACCCTTGTCTGTAGAAATTTCTCCATTCTTGACACGGACTAACATATTGTCTACAAGCTGGTTCACTTGTAAAACATTGGCATTCATCTCCCCGAGCAAGCGAAACGCTTGTGGGAGATCCCTTTGTTCCATCTCATCGATTGCCTGGAATAATAGTTAATCGTTTATAGAAGGAAGAATATAAAAATTGTAATAATTTTGTGGATTGAAAGAAAATAACGTCATACCCTCATTATTATCATATTTCAATTAAAAACGACGGTATATTCGTAAATAAGTGATCCACGACTGTATGTTCATTCATAAAATGTTGTATTTTCACCTTACTCTGACTTAAATATTATTATACGACATCGCATAAAAATTCTACGATCGTCTTTCACCAGATTTGACACAAGTCCGGCGTAAAAAATTATTACGTTTTCTATTTATCTGAAGGTAAGCTGAGTTTTATTTAGATAAACGAAACACGCGGTAAATTCTGTTCGTAAAACCGAAGCGCGAGCAATGTTTTTGTCTAACTTTCGACCGAGGATTTATAGGAGGACTTAATTTTAAGAAAAATGTCGGACTCGTGGACGTACGGGAAAAAAGCGCAATAATCTGCTGCCATCTTTCCTATTTACTAATGGATGACAACGGAAAAAAAACAATCAAAAATTTCCAATAGACCCGATAGAAAAATGCATTGATTCCGACAATCCACGCGGAAATCTGACAGGATAATATGCTTAAAAGTTTCCACTCACCTGTACCATTGTTCTCAAATAAAAATTAACCGAACAGATGCATATCTAAATAACGTAACTTGTAATTAAACGAGTCCCCACGTGGGACGATATTTTCCTTTTCGGGGGTATATTTTTTCGCTCGGAAAAGCTTGATCAAACCAGCTACTATTATGCACCAGAAACGTTCCGATTTCCTAGAAGAATTCCCGCTTCACCGTTGCGAAACCAGCCAATTTAATCGGTTTAGAATTTATGACGCTATAATTCCATGGGTTAAACTTATTTTTAATCTGTATCTTACAAATATAAAAGTGCCACTTCCTTTTCGTTCAAACCATGAAAACTTGCGGGATCTTCAAGAATAGACACACGCAACTAAGTGCATATGCGTTCTTCTCATCTAATACAATTTACATTTACGATAATAATACCGAAAATTTGCTGTATTCATTCTTACAGCTGTTCATTCTGAACAAATGTATTAGAATAAGTTGAAAGATATTAATTATACTTTGAAACAATTCCAGTTTCAAATGAGCAACGCAATGTTTAATACAAGTTATACAGAATTCATGCTTTTATGCAACGACACTCTTTTAGATTTTGTTCTTCGCTTGATAAAGAATATAAAGTGATGTTTTTGAATAAATAAGTTTATATTTCAATTGATAAATTGACGACGATATAGAGGAGGTTAGTGTAAGTGTTCTCGCTAGGGAGTTTGATAAGAACCGATTATTTTTGGCATCACTTTCTGATAAATGTTTCGGAACAGACTTCGCGCTGGAGTAAATTTCATTTTTGACGTGAACCTGAACCCAGTGGAAACTCTGCGAGTAGTAATCGAAAAAAAATAAAACGGTACGGCGTGGCGCGCCTTTGAGAAAAATAATATTATAGAATGGTAAGTTCTGTTACCTGTCGTTCCCCTGTATAAGGATTATTAACATTAACGAACAGACGATGGAGACATTTATTGAATCGACGTGGCGATTCTTTTTCGGTGTAATATTTTCCAACTTCGTAACATCAATATTCGTAATGTACAGTTCCATCAACTGCGTCAATCACTTAATTACACTGTTTATAATAGTTACGATACGAGTCTATTAAGCATTACTGTTGTTAAGTTCAGTAGTTAATTAAAATCATTACTCTACTACTACTACTACTACTACTACTACTAATCATGTAAATACTTTAGATATCTTTACCTGTTTTGCATTTTTAAGCTAGAAGTATATGAATGTAATTTAATTCAGTACGTGTTACATATATTATTTTCTTCTTGACAGGGGAGATTAAAGAGGAGTAGTGTTATACTTGTAATAGTGTCGTTGTTAGTGGGAACAAATGGCTTCCTCGTGCCTGGAGTTGCTCCTGTGGAGTTTAAACAAGGGCAAAAGATCGATGTGAAAGCAGTCAAAATGACCAGTACTCATACACAGTTGCCATATGAGTATTATTCTCTTCCGTTTTGTATACCTAAAAATGGAACTTTGGTTTACAAGTCTGAAAATTTAGGAGAAGTATTACGCGGTGACAGGTAACGTTTATTACTTCACAACTTATTCCTAACAAATAATTCAATTTATTCTTGATGAAACAGAATTGTTAATACACCATACGAAGTATCAATGGCAAAAAACATAAGTTGTAAACTGTTGTGCCATGACCCAGCCAACCACATGACATGGACTGAGGAGGAATCGCAACGTGTCATAGAACGTATTCAACATGACTACACTGTGCATTTGTAAGGATCAATCATATAAAGTCACAATTTGTAGTAAATTTACATTTCTGACAGGCTTTATTTATTCTCAGGTTGATTGACAATTTGCCAGCTGCAACGAAGAAGGTTCATCAAGACACGAACAACGTAATCGTCTACCATGGATATCGATTGGGTGGTGTTATGAACGGCCAATATTATATTAACAATTATCTGAAATTAAAATTAAGTTTTCATAAATACGGAGAGTTAGTATAAATAACGTTGTTACATACATAAATTTTATAAAACTGTGAACATCATTGTATTTATTGTCTTACAGAAACGAGTTTCGAGTAGTAGGATTTGAAGTAGAAGCTCGCTCGGTTGATGTAAATCAATTAAAGTACAACCAAGATACTTGCATCTTACCACCACACGCGAATCCACAATTTGTCAATAGTAAAGGGACGACGCTTTTGTTTCTCTACTCCGTCGAATGGAGGAAATCTGATGTAAGCTGGGCAAGCAGATGGGATATATATCTTGGAATGAGCGATGTCGAGATTCATTGGTTTTCTATCATTAATTCTCTGATCGTAGTTCTTCTTCTTTCTGGTAAATGTCTACCACGCTCTGTGCTCTTAACGTATTTGATTTCTTTTCGATTCGGTTAAAGTTCATGATGAAATTTTATAGGAATTCTGACGATGATCATGATTCGTACTCTAAGAAGAGATATCGCGCGATACAACGCTGGTGAATCCGACAGTCTAGCCGGCTTAGATGAAACGATCGAAGAAACTGGGTGGAAGCTAGTTCACGGAGACGTATTTCGACCACCGCCAAATCCCCGATTATTCGCTGCTGTGATAGGCAGTGGAATTCAGATATTCTTCATGGCATTGATAACAATATGTAAGACTTTCACATGGATAACCATTCTTCATCGTACTGGTGTCGTTATATGATTTTTCTTGGTTTCAGTCTTTGCTATGCTGGGCATGCTTTCTCCTGCTAGCAGAGGAGCACTCGGAACTTGTGCAATATTTCTGTACGTGTTCTCTGGTTTAATTGCTGGATACTTCTCGGCTCGTCTTTATAAAACAATGCGTGGTCGGAAATGGAGGCGAACAGCATTATTGGTAAGATACAGATTGCAGATATAGTTGTGATAAAATTGATTGTATCATTATATTGTTCTTTGTTATAGACGGCAACGCTCTATCCTGGAATAGTATTCACGACTTGCTTCTTTTTGAATTTCTTCATATGGGGAAAGCATAGTTCCGGTGCAGTACCATTTACGACAATGCTTGCATTGTTATGCTTATGGTTCGGCATATCACTCCCTCTTGTATATCTTGGATATTTCTTTGGCTACCGCAAACAGCCATTCACGCATCCTGTTCGCACGAATCAAATTCCCAGACAAGTTCCCGATCAATTATGGTACATGAATCCAGCGTTATGGTAAGTGCGTCAAATTAATTCGACGATTTCTAATATGTTCAAAATAAAATATACATGTTTCTAATTCTTGCAGTACGTTAATGGCTGGAATCCTCCCCTTCGGAGCTGTCTTTATAGAATTATTTTTCATCCTGACTGCATTATGGGAAAATCAATTTTATTATCTTTTCGGATTCTTGTTTCTCGTTTTCTGTATACTGGTCATTTCCTGTTCTCAAATATCCATAGTTATGGTCTATTTCCAGTTATGCGGGGAAGTAAGTAAACAAATTATATTTCCTTTCTGAATTTAAAACGTTTATACTTATGTGTACGATTTGCTAACAGGACTATCGATGGTGGTGGAGAAGCTTTATCGTTAGCGGAGGATCGGCTGTATATGTTTTAGCCTATTCGGTCTTCTATTTTATGACGAAACTAGAAATAACAGAATTAATTCCAATACTTTTATACTTCGGTTACACGGGACTGATGGTGTTAACGTTTTGGTTACTGACGGGTACAATCGGATTCTTCGCGGCTTACGCCTTCATTCGAAAAATATATGCTGCTGTAAAGATAGACTAGTCAAACTGATCATTGACGAGGTCAATGATACAATAAAAGAAGGTAAAACATTTTCAACAAAGAATATTTAGTTATTTTAAATGAAACGTATGAAACCAAACCAGTATAATAGTTTATATTCGTTTCCGATAGTTAAATACAATTTGATTCTTGAGGTAGTACATTCACCAAATATTATTTTTACAAATTGTGTATGTACCTTTCGCTTGAGTAAAATTTAACTAAGAAGAAACTAATTAGATAAACATATATGAATCGTATTATTAACAAAAAAATTGAAGATTTCCTTTTTTTATTCTCATTAAAAATATTTCATTACTGTATTGTGTAGTACTTATAATTTATAAAAACGGAGTCATTCACATCCAACAATGAATCTATACATACACATGAGGAAAGGATGCATAGGCTGTATTAATATTACTCTTTCTTGAGATAGTAATTAATGTATAAAAATATTGGTAAACGTAATATTAATATCAGTCGATGCCAGGTATTATATAGGTTGCAATATTAATTCACGATTATCATTTATTTCATTGCAATTAAGTGACGATTATGCAATATTTGCAATTCGTCAAATGTTGATATATATACATTAAGTCTATATAATGTAATATTAAACTTTTGCGAACCACATAGAACATTAAAAGAAAAGTACATTCTGTTCGCAGAGGATTTAATAAAAAATTAGTTATGAAGAAACTGGAACGCGTTAAATTAACTATTGGCACAATTATAAGAATCTGTATTTTTAATTATACGAGTATTACGTTCGTTTAAATTTCGTGTACGCTATGAGATCTCCGACGTATCTGAGTAAATGTATAATACATCAATTCTTTTGTACATGTTGAAGTCACTATATTTGCGATGTTCAATACATCTCCTAGCCTTTTATACATATTTGTAAACATGTTTTTTAATAGAATTGTTATTTGATAAAACGATCGTAAGGGGAGGAAAAAGATTTTCAAAATTTAATAATATCATCGTGAAATTCCAGTGAATCGAATTATTAATACTGAGACTACAATAATAAATAAAATAGATATTTTATACTATGAATATTGTAAATAATGTGTAACTATTATCTTTAAAAATTATATATATTATATTATATGTATAAAATCTTATTAGTTACTCGTCACGTACGTTTCAGCTTATTTTCGTTATTATTAGTTACCATATACTTGCTGCGGTTTTCAATAAAATTTTAAGAGATAGTACCGACTTTGTTTCAGTCTGCGCTTCATGATAAAATATATGAAGATGCACACTATACTAATAATATAAATTCTTATCTCTGTCGATTCCTTTGGCATGTAACATTTCGATATGGAATAATTATTAGGGGAAAATACACCCTGAAACAACAGTATTACCATGAGCGAACATGTGATATGACTGAAAAGAGTTATAGAATTTAAAGCCCTAAGCTTACTAGCAAGAGCGAAGGATTGTCTTTATTACGCCAACTGAATGACGGTACTGTAACTTCCAATATATCATTTCTATGCAGTCTCCTACAGCCATGATGAGTATGGCCATTTACTGTAAGTCTCGGATTCAGTATGTCCAAAAGCTGCAAGTTAATTTCATTTTGAACAGAAGTTGACAAGCTTAACTATAATTCTTAGAATATTGTACGTACTTGTTCGGATGCTTCCTTCGATAAACATTCCCATCGTTCCCTGAACTTGATGCTTTTTATGTCATCCGGGGCTTGATCAGACTCATTGCAAATTTCATCCGATTCCCGATACATCGGATAATGCTACGATTACGATTCAATTTAATTTAAGTTATCGTTTCGAGAAAAGAGCATTTTACTGACCTGTAAAACAATTGGTCTGCTGTATCTTGAAATTGTATTACCTTTACAATAGTTCCCATTATTCTTCGCACATTTCAAATGTGCTGAAAATTATTTCACTTATTTATCCGCGTATTATGACTACGTATTGACCGTACTAACACAAAAAGTAGTCTTACTGGCAATTTTATTTAATGCAGCTTCTGTGGGGCTACACAAGAAACAACCGTCCCCTTCTAGAGCCATGCTATTTATCAAGACGAAGTGATTCCCCCTCATAGTAACTCTTTTCACGCTTGGCGTCTTAAAACCATTAACAAAACGTTGGTTCAAATACGGTGTGATTGCTAAACGAATATTTCTTAATTAGAAATGTATACTATATTAAATATCGGTGATTGTATAATACCATAATGAAATCCAATATCATGATTTCCAGCAACGACGTAAAGATGAGTGTTCTTAGGTACTGAAAATAACGAATGAAATCTTTGCATGTACTGATCGAACTCTGTAGAACTGCTCCATTGTCCTTCATCAAACAAATCACCTGTTGTATCACAATCGAAATGTTAAATATCTAATAAATACGTTGCTTGCCTGATATATGTTCCTATGTACCTAATATAAAAATGATGTCTGGCTTGTGAAGTGTAATCATAGTTTGGAATACTCTGTACATTTGCCATTCCCTAATTACACAATGATTTCGTTAGAATTTTGTTTGAGAATATGTAAATAGTTTAAAGGAAGACTGACCTTTTCAGTTTATCAAACCAATGTCCTTTTTTAGGACCTAATAAGTGAGTGTCTGCAATAAACATTGCATGCACAGGAGTTTCTTCTAGTTTTGGTTCAGGGATCGTTACATCAATTTTACGTGGATCCAAAATTGGCCACGAGCACTGTTACATAAGAAGCGAACATTAAAATCTTGTAATAATTTACTTACGACGAAGTAGATGAAACTTACTTGAATGAGAACGACATAATACAATAAATATTCACAGAAAATGAAGACGCACAGCAAGGCTATTGTAGCTTCGGTTAAATATCTTTTACACACGGACGTTCTGGTCTCTAACATTTTGTGCAATTTAAAATATATTCAGAAACGTGAACGAGATTCATATGTTTCATATTTAAAAGGGAATATTCCTGTAAACATTCCGCAAGTTGAGAAACGAGAAGTCATAGGAATTCAGATGTTGATTCTAGATGAAGTTCACGGACGGCAATTGAACTTAGGATCGTATGAGCAATATTAACATTGTTAAGATTTAATTCACGTTATCTACATTAATATTTATAAATGTGGTGATTTATATTATATACATTTACCCAGCCAACCATATGTTCTAAAATCTTATTGCCACCTGGCGGTAGAATACAGTCAATCCGAAAAGTTGCCTAGAACAGAGAGGAACTGAGAGTGCTCACGGCCGGGTTTTGCGTGTTCCCCATACTACTGCTGCCCCCAGCTTTTTTTTGCAGGGATCTGACACGTTCAGTTCAACGTTTAGCATTTACCAGAACCAACTGGACACAGATCTGCCCTGTCCAGTTCAACGTTTAGCATTTACCAAAACCAACTGCACAGAAATCTTCTCTGTCCAGTTCAACGTTTAGCGTTTACAAGAACCAACTGAACAGAGATCTGCCCTGACCAGTTCAACGTTTAACATGTACTTATAAGGGAACGAAAGAACCATTTCAACGCCAGCAAATACGTAATGAAGGTCAGCCAATATTACGAGATGTTCACACTCGTATTGTTAATAATTGTAAATAATTGTTAGGAGATTGTCTTTATAAGTGAGCTTCGAACACGAGGAGAAACGGGGTTATGGAAATAAAGATTGGATTTAATTCTTTTCGAATTGAGGCAAAACCAAATTTATTACGATCTGAAAAACGCCTGTGTTCCCTGTATACAGAAATTTGTATTTAGTTTATATTCTGTTTGTATCGGACCGCCCCGTTGTTCTTCATCCGTTCGCATGCAACTATTGCAACTCCAATAATTTGAACCCGAATTTGTGGTACGCTTTCTAATTGTCTGAAT